ACTACTACTACTAGTGCTACGGCTGCTACGACTGTCGTTCTTATTACTACAACTACCACGGCTACCACTACGACTACGACTACTACGATTACTACCACTACTACTACTACTGCTACTACTACTACTACTACTACTACTACTACTACTACTATTGCTACTACTACTACTACTACTACTATTACTACTACTACTACTACCACTACTACTACTACTACTACTACTACTTCTACTACTACTACTACTACGACTACTACTACTACTACTTCTAGTACTACTACGACTACTACTACTATTGCTGCTGCTGCTACTACTACTACTAGTACTACTACTACTACTACTGCCACTGCTTCTACTGCGACGACTACGACTACTACGCAACTACTAAGGGTACGACTACGTCTGCTACGAATACTACTACTGCGACTACTACTGCGACTACTTCTACCACTTCTACTACCACTACTACTACTACTACGACTAGTGCTACTACTAATGGTACGACTACACTCCTGTTATTACTGCTACTACTAGAACGACGATGGCTGGTACTACTACTTCCGTTTTTATTACTACTACTACGATTACTGGTACTACTACGACTGCGGCTACTTCTATTGTTACTGCCACTGCCACTACTATTGTTACTACTACTGTTACTACTACTACTACTACTACTGCTACTGCTACTGCTACTGCTGCTACTACTACTACTACTACTACTACTACTACTACTACTACCACTACTACCACGACTGCTTCGACTACTACGACAACGACTACTGCGACTACTACTACTACTACTACTACTTCTACTACTACTACTACTACTACTACTACTACTACTACTACTACTACTACTACTACTACGACTACTACTACTACTACTACTACTACTACTACTACTACTACTACTACTAATACTACTACTTCTACGACTACTACAACTACTACTACTACTATTACTACTACTACTACTATATGACGACGACTACTACTACTACTACTACTACTACTACTACTACTACTACCGCAAATGCGGATAAGAGTAAGGAGGCGGTGTGGGCTCGGGCAGCATGCGGGACTCCTTGGGGGAAAACAGCCGCAATCGCAGGTCGGTCGCGGGTGTGTCGCCGGGTGGGCCGCGGGTGGGTCGCGGGGTGGGTCGCGGGTGGGTCGCAAGTGGGTCGCGGGTTGGTCGCAGGGTGGGTCGCGGGTGGATCGCGGGTGGATCGCGGTGTGGGTCGTGGGGTGGGTCGCTAGTGGGTCGCGGGGTGGGTTGCGGGTGGGTCGTGGGGAGGGCGACGACAACAAACAACGACAACAACAACAGCAACAGCAACAACACCAACGCAGCAAGCAGAACCTCACCACGGGTTCTCACTTCAGCCGCGCACCTACTACTTTTCCTGCTGCTGCTGCTGCTAACACATTAACGACGACCACGACGGCGACGGCGAATCGCAACCCGAATCGCGAGGCGCACTCCGTCGATCGAGTCCCTTGGTCTTCTGTCTTCCGTCATGAATGCAACCAGGCGCCCTGGGAGCGCGTGGGAGGGCCACGGCTCGCCAGGGGGAGGCCTTTCACGTGTCTGGATCGCCACCCCCCCGCTCTGAATTGTCAGCCTCGGGCCCTCCCTGGCCCTCCAGACGGCCTGGGCGCCAACCCGAGTGACGCCCCTCTGTGGGCCGAGCTCCCTCTTCCCCCTATTATGGGGGCGGGCACCCTGGGCACCGAAACTTTTGATTGAATCGTCCCGCCCCAATTTGTATAACAAAATCGTTTGTTCACATCAGGGAAAGGAGAGGAGGAGGAGGAGGAGGAGGAGGAGGAGGGAGGAGGAGGAGGAGGAGGAGGAGGAGGAGGAGGAGGAGGAGGAGCAGGCAGAGGATGATGACGAGGAACGCCCCCTCGACGGCTGATTGGGGCGCTGTGGGAACCAAGCAGGGTCGCGGACAAGACGCATCTTCGGAAGGCTTCTTGGGGTCCCGGAAGGGGCCTCTCAGGGACCCTTTGGCGGCGTTTTTGAAACCTCCTGGGGCCTATTGGGTTCCCCGCGGGGCGTTTTTGATGACCTTTTTGGGCTTGAGGGGGCCTCTTGTAAGGGGTCTGGGGGGCCAATTTCGGGGAAGGCTCGATCTGTCCGGTCGGGTTTCTCTCTCGGGGCCCTCTTGGGCCGTCTGGGGAAGCCTGTTTGGTCGTCCTGGGGCCGTTTGGGGCCGCCTTGGAACTCTCTCGGGCTGACTTGTTGCGATGTTTGGGGCCTTTTTGGCCGTCCTGGGCGGTCACAAGCTTGAACATGTGGTAACGCCGAAATCTTCCAACCAACCCACGCAACATCATTGAAGTTTGCGCATTCGGACCCTCTTGGGATCATCTTGGAGCCGTCCTGAGGCGTCTTGGGCACCTCGTGGGCCGTCTTGAGACCAACTTGGGCCATCTTGGAGCGCTCTTGGCTTGAGACCGTGGGGCCTGCCATCTATTTTGCACCTCCTTGGGGCTGTCCTGGGGCGCTCTGGGGGCTCCCGGGCCGCGCCCAGCAGTTCGGGTATCTCAGAGGCCCAGACTTTGTGGGATTGTGCGGGGACCTAGCCCGGGTATTTTCCTCGGGTCGCCCCCAGAGGCCGCCACGCGCGCGCGACAACCAGAAACATTCGCAAACTCTTGACAGAGATTTTTGCTCGCCTTTGGCCCGTTGGGACGGCCAATTTGCATGCACAGCGTGGGCTATTATTAGCACGTGCGCTGCAACGCGTAGGACGCATCGCGAAACAGTTACGGCACGTGTAGATATATACATACATATACCGATACATGTGTATATATACATACATATATAGATATACATGTATGTATACACTGTGCTCCATAGTGTTCCCCACCTAGATCGCACTCAATGGATTGCAACGCGTCGATTGCACCCCACATGTTGAATCACGTCGGTTGCGCAGAATCTTCACACGTTGCACCGTGTCTTAGCATCCTACAGGTTGCACCATTCACGCTGCACACCGAGAACCGAGAGAACACCGTTCGTGGTCCACGCTGGCAAACGTGTCTTCAAATCACAGTATTGATGCTCTAGTCCCCCGCTGCTGCGGATGAGTGTGAAGGGTGCGCAAGCGGTACGTGTGCGCTTGTCCATCCCCAGTGTCCGTCCCCAACGTCCATCCCCGATCTTCATCCCGAGTGTCCACCGACAGTAGTGTCCATCCCCAGTTTCCATCCCCGGTGTCCTGCCCCAGCGTCCATCTCCAGCATCCATCCCCAGCGCCCATCCCCAGTGGCCTTCCCGCCCAGCGAAAAGATAACCCCCTTTCCTGAGATCCGAAAGAGCGTGTTCTACCGCTGCTAGCGGAAAACCGGGGGGGGTCACTACCGGTTCGAACCCCTCCCCCCCCCCCCTCCGGAAAACCGGGGGGGGGTCACTACAGGTTCGAACCCCTCCCCCCACCCCACCCCCCCCCAGTTCATCATGAAAAGGGGGGGGGGTCACTACCGGTTCGAACCCCCCCCCTCGAGCTCGAAAACCGGGGGGGGGTCACTACCGGTTCGAACCCCCCCCCCCCCTCGAAAACCGAGGGGGGTGCGGACAGTGGTGGGGACGGTGGTGGTGGGGACAGTGGTGAGGGGACAGCGGGACAGTGGTGGGGACAGTGGGACAGTGGTGGGGACGGTAGTGGTGGGGACAATGGTGAGGACAATGGTGGGAACAGTGGGGACAGTGGGACAGTGGTGGGGACGGTGGTGGTGGGGACAGTGGTGTGGGGACAGTGGGAATGTGGTGGAAACAGTAGGACAGTGGAGGGTACAGTGGTGGTGGGGACAGTGGTGAAGGCGGTGGCGAGGACGGCGGTGGGACAATGGGACAGAGGTACAGTGGGGACAGTGGTAGGGACAGTGGGGACAGTGGTGGGAACAGTGGGACAGCTCAGTGGTTCGAACCGGTAGTGACCCCCCCCTTCGGTTTTCGAGGGGGGGGGGTTCGAACCAGTGGTGACCCCCCTCGGTTTTCGAGCTCGAGGGGGTGGGGTGGGGAGGGGTTAGGGGAGGGGGGGGGTTTTGCCGGGGGAAGGGGGGGGGGGGGGGGAGGGGTTCCAGGGGGGGGGGATTTTCGGAGGGGGGGGGGACCCCCGGGTTCTGGAGGAAAAGGGCGGCAATTTTCCACAGTAAAGCGGCGGTGGATCACGCTCTCTCTGAGATCCGATACCGCAAACCATGAACATAGCAGCGAATCGCGACTGGAACCGGACACCGATTTTTCTGCGGTATGTTTCGAGACATATTGATTCGTCTTGGTCCTGAACGGCAGCGCATGGTGTAAAAAACAATGCAGCGCCTGGATCTGAGGGCTCGTCCCACCAACAGTCGCAGGGTGCTCCACGTTCAAAATTGGTACGGAAAGAATAGGCACGCAGCAGTTCCTGTCGGTGCCGCCCGGGACGTTGTCTATGTGATCTAGCGTCGAGTAGTTTGGATTTAGCGTCGACTCGCGTCAGTTAGTGCCGACTCGCAAGGGCCAGCGAGATGAGATGGGAGGCCCCCGTGAGTTGCCACAGAACCGTGGCTGGTTTTCCTCGGTTTCGGCCTTCGGGGGCTGCCTCCAGGCCCCAGAACCATCAGAAGTGGACCCGTGGCGAAGAGTTACCCCCAGGGACGTGGCCGAGACCTCCGAAGCCGCGGGCTGAAAACATCACATCGTCGGATGTCTGGGCACAGGGTCCCATGAGAGGGGAACGAAGGATGACATGGACATAAAAACTCCGAGGTCCGCGCGGATTTCTCGGATCGGCGCTGGACCCGCCTCCCTGGCGCGCGGAGCGCGCGCCGGGGGCGGCGCCGGAGGCGCCACCAGGTGGTGGGTCAGCGCGGACCCGAGAACTCCGCGCGGACCTCCGAGTTTTGTTATGTTCGTGGCAGTCCTCGTTCCTGTTTTCACGGGTTGCCACAGAGGCGTCCACACGGGCGGGCGGGTGAAGGCGAGCTGCAGCGTCCGCCAGGCCGCAGGGCCGCCGCGCGGGGCCGCCACCGCGCGCGGCGCGCGAGCCTCGGGCCGCCATGGCGGCCGACCTGCGGGCCGCGGTGCCGTCCGGCCTGCCGCCTCGGCCCGACGGCGGCCTCCCCGGGCACAGCAGAGGCTGGCCGCGCGAGCAAGGGGGGCAGGGGGAGGGGGAAGGCTTCTCAGAGGGGGGCTGCTTCTTAGAAGGCGCAGGCCTTACATCTATACAGACAAGGCCCACGCCTTCCAAGAAGCAGGGGTGCCTCTAAGGAGCCTTTTCCCCCCTTCCCCTGCCCCCTGGTTTGCGCCGCCAGAGAGAGCCACGACCACAACGGAGGGGACTTTTCTGGAGGGCCCCTCGGGGGAGAGCCCGCCGACCTCGGCATGAACACTTCGGCCGTGGTCGTGGCCGACTCGGCCGCCTGGGGCGCCCACATCGACCAGAACCCGCGCCAACCGGGTATCTGTATTCTGGCGTGGGTAAAACAGTCCCCAGGGGTGCGTCCTCGACGTGGTCGTGCTTGCTTGCTGTCCCCCGAAGGCCTCGACCTGCCGTCTCGCATCATCTCGGCGCGGGTCAAGTGGTGCTGGGACCCCGAGGATCCAGGTTCGAGGCTTTCTGGCCTCCAGGGTTCCTCATCTTGGCCTCGGCCAGGCGCAGCTCGAACACTTGGTACGTTTGGACCCCGGCAGGGTCTGGGGACCCGTTTTGAGTGTTTTTTGACACCCCTCGCGTGGTGGCACAAATCACGGCAGAAGGTGTTTTTTCTATGTTCGGCCTTTGGGAGCTCTTGCAAGGCCTCGGGGCCGTCCAAAAACTGCTCAGGAGGATGAACCAGTCCCAGGGATGGAGTCCAGGCCCCTGGGGGGTCTACACTGTGCAACAAACTCACGACGTCCTGGGTCTGGGCCTCGACGGTACCAGTGCTGGCGGTGCCCACAAAAGGGTGGTGCGAGGGCAGCAGCTTTCTGAGAATGCAGTGGGGCCTCTTAGAGGGCAGGGGCCCTCTCAGAAGGGCCCGAAGGCTTCCACGAAACCATGTCATTAAAGGCCGCCAGGCCCTCCAAGGAGGGTCACTGCTATCTGAGAAGCCCCACCTACCCTCTCAGAAGCTGCCTTCCCTCGCGCCAGCCCCTCCTGGGCGCCGCCGCCAACACTGGCCGGGAGCGAGAGCGAGGGACGGGTTTTGTGAGGGCGTATGCCGCGAGCGTTCCTGGCAGGAGGGGCTCTGCAGGTCCAGGCATCGGCGCCTGGAGAGATCGAGGCGGCCTGCTTGTCACAATGCTTCCCCCTCGAGCTGCCAGTTTCGGGCCTCGGGGCTGTAACAACACTGATCAGGGATGACGAGCTTGCCCTGTAAGGTCGAGGGGTCTGAGGCCCAGGAGGCGATCCAAATCGAAGCGCCGGATTTTCAAAGAGGCTAATGATGTCCCAACCTATTCTAGCCTTGACCACCAGAAATAAGTTCGAACACCAGGAAGGCACCAACACTTGAGCGGTTTCACGTGTCGGGCCCTGGGAGGCGATCCTCGTTCGAGACTGGTTCGATACGTTTCTGGGTGCTCTAAGTTTCTTCTGGGATGTAGTCCTCAAGTAAGATGGGAGCAACAACACAAAGGCAGACTTGGACTCTGCAGGGGGCGGCCTCGGCGGCACCACCTGGGCGAGAGACCGATCGTCATACGCCTCGGGGGGTCTGTGGTGGGCCGTCGCTCGCCGAGGGCTTTCCAGCGGTTCTCCTAGGTGGTCCCGAGAGGCCCTCTGAGCATCGGGCCACATGCCCAGCAGGAGACGGCCGCCCGCCTTGCTGTGGCTCACTGTGCGGCTTCCCCCTGGGTGTTTGACGTCTGTGTTACGTCGGGCATGTCCCTCCACAGGAGGAGTATCCAACAATAGTTATCAGAATCGTCTGGGGACGATGCTCCTGCTACTTCTGCCTTTTAAGCAATCTTGTTCTAGTTTTCTCCCAAAATCAGCCCTAACGTTTGCACCTCGGCGATCCGCTGAGCCGGCGCATCCGAGGCACACGCCGGCCACCGCAGGGCCCTCACATAATGCACAGCGCTTTGGGCCCAGGGCGCGCAGCATTCGAGGTGACTCCTGGGACTGTAGAATCCCAGGGGGCCAAACACCCGTACGAGGAAGCCCTAGAGTTTCAGCAAGACAAACGCACCCATCATCATCACCATCAGCATCATCAGCATCATCATCATGAGCATCATCCGTCGCCATTTTGGCTCACGTTCGAAACGCGAACCCCTGGTGCTTCGAGTTCGCTCGAAGCTGATGGGACAGCTCGAATCCTGGGCACAGCTGCTCTGCTCTGCGCCCGTCTCGTTCCGACCAGATCGGACCACCCGTTCGTTTTTAGCCAGTGCTCTGTTCTGCAGTGCAATGGCGCCGTCCTCGACAGAGAAGGCGATCGCGGATCTGAGGGCTCTGGTGGCTGCGTTGACCAGTTCGATCACGAAGGTGATTGAGCAGGTAGCAGAGATTGTCGAGCGGAAGGGCTGAATCAGCATATGAAGAAACTCGCAGAGACGGGTGCGGCGCTGGCTGCTCTGAAGCCGTTGGCGAACGGCGGTGGCGTCAGCAGCGGCGTCGGTCTCAGCAGCGACGGTGGCAGCGAGGGCAACGTTGCGAAGAGGGGTCGTCTCGGTACTTGTGTTAGACTTGGCATTCAGGACCTGCTCTCCGAGGGGATTGTCGTGGGCTTTGGGGGTGAGTTCGCACACGAGATCCTCGCTGAGGCGGGGGCGGCAGTTTTGACGGCATGCGTTCGGGCCGGATCTCTGCAGCAAATGAAGGTCACCCCCCAGCACTTCTCGGAGAGCGTGATTATTGCGTTCCCGTCGGGCGATGCAGCGTCTGAGACGATCGAGGCGTTCCGCAAGAATTGCCCTGGCGGTTTCGAGCCCACTACCCCCAAGGGCCCTCGCATTTTGCGTCTTAAGCCTTTCAGGGACGTTGGGCTAACAAGCAGCTAGCCGTGATGGGCAAGGTCCGTTCGGAATCCGAGTCAGTCGGCAAGTCGGCCCCGCAGCCGCGGGCTGGTCAGTAGACTCCTCGGTCGGGAATGGCATCGCGTTCGTCTCTGAAGAGCGCGCGGGCGATGCGCTCAAGTAGTACTGCGTTCAGAAGCCCTCGGCGGCGTTCGCGCAGCCGCGCGTGATCGCCTTCGTCCGTCACTTCGAGCATAAAGGTATCGAGAGCAAGCGCGATGAGACTGCGTCCAAGGCATGGGGGCAGCTGGGTCTCCAGCGCGTCCTCTCCTTTGGAGTCTAGTGCGTCTGAGGAGGCTGGGTGGCCATCGCAGGAGGTGGCCTCTCTTCTGTGCGAACGCCGTTTCGGCGAGGCCCCATATTATCTAGAGGAGCTCGGCGCGACGTCGCCCCCCCCCCCCCCCTCGTTCCCATGAGACCGATGTCGATCGTCGCGTGGAATGCCAGAGGGTTGTTTTGCCAGCGTTACTGGCACGAGGGAGCGGGCTTGCACTCGGTGGAGGTTGTTCTCTACCCCTATCCGTCGCAGTCCGATCGTCTGTATTCAAGAGCCCCATGGTCACGCAGGTGACGCTGTCTTTCTCCAGAAGGCACTCCCGCCCCACAGGTTCTTCTTCAAAGCCGACCCTAGCAATGCCTCTGGTCACGGGATCCTCGTCTGCGTTCAAGATAGGTTGGCGTTTCAGTTCTGTGGCATCACTCGGGAGATTCTCTTTCCTGGACTGGCTGGCCACGTGCGTCCTTGGTTTGGGCGTGGCTGGCTTCTTGGGGATCGGTGCAGTTCATCTGCCCAATGTCGATGCATGGATTGGCTCATACCTTCACTGTCTCTCATGCGCCCGCTCTGCCCTTCTCCCTGCTGCGTCCGCTGCCCGCATCATTCTTGGCGATGTCGCCTTTGTCGTCAGCGACAAGGGGCGATTCAATCTCGAAGATGGGGCCCAATTTCGCGGGGGCACGGCCTTCACTCGCCATTGGAATGCAGCTTCCGGGGTTTGGATTTAGCTCCTTACCAGCCCCAGGAAACTCGGCGTTCTTGTTTGGGCCCCAAGGTTGCCTCGACGGCTCGTTTTGGTCTCGTGCATGTAGATATGCCCGGAGGTTTCTTAGGCCGTCTTTGGGCCATCTTGGGCGTCTTGGAGCGCTCGTTTGGCGTCTCGGGGCCCTCGTGGGCCGTCTTGGAGGCCTCTTGGGGCATTCTTGGCCAGTCGCGCGGGCCCGTTTTTGCGCTTTTGGCCCGTTTTGGGACGTTTTGCTCCCCCATGACGCGTTCGGTCCTGCGTACCCCGGGGCCGGGGGGGGGGGCGAATCTCCGGTCTGGGGCCATTGGGGGGGGGGTATGGGGGGGGAACTATCTCACGGATCGGGGGTTATGGGGGGGTTATGGGGTTTACAAAGGGTCGGCGGATTATTACTACTACTACTACTACTACACTACTACTACTACTACTACTACTACTACTACTACTACTACTACTACTACTACTACTACTACTACTACTACTACTACTACTACTACTACTACTACTACTACTACTACTACTACTACTACTACTACTACTACTACTACTACTACTACTACTACTACTACTACTACTACTACTACTTTTAATTCTACTTTTACTTCTACTACTACTACTACTACTACTACCACTACTACTACCACTACTACTACTACTACTACTACTACTGCTACTAGTACAACGAACAACATCACTACATCTACCAATACTACGACGACTATTACTACCACTGCTACTACTACTACTACTACTACTACTACTACTACTACTACTACTACTACTACTACTACTACTACTACTACTACTACTACTACTACTACTACTACTACTACTACTACTACTACTACTACTACTACTACTACTACTACTACTACTACTACTACTACTACTACTACTACTACTACTACTACTACTACTACTACTACTACTACTACTACTACTACTACGAATACGACTACTACTGTCACTACTACTGCTACTACTACTGCTACTACTACTACTACTACCAGTACTGCTGAGGCTGCTGCTACTGTTGCTACTACTACTACTACTACTACTACTACTACTACCACTACTACTACTACTACTACTACTACTACTACTACTACTACTACTACTACTACTACCACTACTACTGCTACCGCTACTGCTACTAGTTCTACGGATGCTACTACCACCGCGACTACCACTACAATCACGACGACCGTTCTTCAGCTACTTCTAGTACATGTGTGGCATTACTACTACTACTACCACTGTTTCGAGTTCTTTTTTGTTAGTACTAGTACTCGTACGACTACTACTACTACTACTACTATTACTACTACGACTACTACTACTACTACTACTGCTGCTATTATTGCTACTACTACTACTACTACTACTACTACTACTACGACTACTACTACTACTACTACTACTACTACTACTACTACTCCCTCTATTCGGATACCAACAGGCATCTCACATATTTGCATTCCAACAAGAATTTTGCACAGTCGGATTCCAATCGGAATTCCGTATATTCAGATTCCAATAGGAATCCAGTATATTCGGATTCGGGTAGGAATTTCTTCTCTTTAGATTGCAGCAGGAATTTTCGACATTCGGATTAAAATTGGAACTCCTTATAGTTGATTTCGAACAGGAATCCCCGATATTCGGATTCCAGTAGGAATTCCTCATATTCGGATCCCAATAGGAATTTCTTATATTCGGATTCCGCTAGGACGTTCCTAGATTCGGATTCCAACCGGAATTTCCCCATATGTGGAGCAATCATAAACCTTGATCTACCGGGTCCAACTGGAAGTTCACATATTTGGATTTCATTCGGTATTGTTTACATGCGGATTCCAATAGGAATTCCCAAACTTCGTAGTCCAAGTAGGGATTCCACATTGGGATTCCAATAGGAATCCCTACAGCCGGATTCCACATTCCAATCTAATTTCCCCATATTCGGATTGCAATACGAATTCCTTATATTGTGATTCCAACACGGAATTCCCGATTTATTCGGATGTCAGTAGGAATTTCTTATGATTCGGACTCCGATCGGATTTGTTTTACATTCGGCTACTATTAGTGCGACTACTACTACTATTACTACTACTACTACTACTACTACTACCACTACTACTACGACTACTACTACTACTAATAATAATCCCACTGCTACTACTTCTACTACTTCTACTACTTCTACTTATAGTTGTACTACTACTACTACTACTACTACTACTACTACTACTATCACTACTACTACTACTACTACTACTACTACTACTACTACTACTACTACTATTATTATAACTACTACCACTACTACTACTACTACTACTACCACTACCACTACGATCCACTAAAAGACGCGCGACATCCCAACTGCAATAGCTCACGCGTGAACTTGCTCCTGTACGGTGTCCAGTGCATTTGCAGGTTGCAATGCAGAAGTATGATAACACTTCAATATGTTTTCTTAATTTGCTTCCTTCTCGGTTGTGATCTGACCGTGCCTGGTGCTTTGGACGGTTGTGATATGACCCGTCTGGTTGTGATCTCACGCGACCGGTTGTGATCTGAACCCATCGCCCCGATAATGTGCCCCGATATTGTTCTAGTTGGCCCGTGAAGTGCAGCGGTGGGGTCGCCCTCCTGAGGGGCAGCGGATTTTACGATTCGTCTTTGATATGTGCTTTACCAAACAAAAACTCTTCGCCCTCCCCACCCTCCCATCCCGTTCCCTCGCGGGTCGAACGAAAGGGGGACCTTTGAAAAGGGGGCGTTCCTACATTATTTGTTGCACGCAGCGGGTTTCGGGCCCGCCGCCCAGCGCCTTTAATCTGCATGGTGGCGTCTCCCGCGCTGGGAGGCGTGGGGCGCATCAGCTACGCGGGCTGCTTCTCTAATCCCCCCTCGCTATCCCCCCCATGCGTCCGCCCCGATCCTCGTCATCCCTTCTCGTTTCCTCCTGACTCCACTGGCGGGCGAGCGGCGCGGCCCGCGAACTTGCGCGGTGGGGTACGGCATTACAAGCGAAGTTGGTCCGAGTATGTTAGTGTTTGGTGTATCCACATCCGTGGCCTCGGGGTCCAGACTCTTCGGCCACGACCCAATGGACGCAGGGCGGCCGTGCGTGGATGACGGGGCGCGGAACGTACTCATCCATGAGATCGCGTATCCATGGGACCGCGTTTTTGGTATCTAGGCCGCGAACACTTTAATACGGTAGTCGGCCGTCGTTACTTGGGCACCCCGGGTCCCTGCCACGTGCCTCGCCTGACCATGGTGAAGAACACCTTCATCGAGACCTTGGACGCGTCCGGAACCCTGGACGCTTCCTGCGAGCTGGACCCCACGCCCCCGCCTGGCCTCATCCTGGAACGGTCACTGACGTGGCCCACCCGGAGGCCGTGCGCAGCCACGGAGGAGGAGAAGACGAAGAGGAGGAGGAAGAGGAGGAGGAGGAGGAGGAGGAGGAGCTGAAGGAAGAGTACGACGAAGAAGAGTTGGGCTGACGCCGCATTGGCATAAACATTAACGTTCGGACGCCTGCGCCGAGTTCTGGGGTCGTCGCGTCGTTGGGCACCCCCAAAGGGCGCCTCTGGCGCCGCCCATGGTGCGCTCTGCACGCCAGGGGGGAGGTCCAGCGCCACCCCAGGCAATCCGCGCGGACCTCGAGGAGTCGAAGATAAACAAACGCCATAAACATAATCTTTTGGCGCCTCGCGCGGATTTCTTGGATCCGCGCTGGGCCCCCCTGGCAGAGCCTCCAGCGCCGCCCCTGGCGCGCTCCGCGCGCCAGGGAGGGGGGTCCAGCACAGATCCAAGAAATCCGCGCGGAGCGCCGAAAGTGTATGTGTATGCCGGTTGTTGATTCTTCTGAAAAGTACATGTCTATGCTGTTCGTTGATGGCTTTCTAGGACTTTGAGGGGGTGGCCAGCCACGTACGACTGTAACATGCGCCCATCGGCGAGCTGCACGAGCCCGCAAGGCTGGCATTAGCCCAGGCCTGCACCCTCGCGGGCACGCGATCCCAAGGGCCAGCTGAGGAGGAGCACAAGGAAGAAGCCGGGAGGCCTTCTCCCTGGCGCCGCGGAAGTGGACATGTTGAGCGGAGACAGTGGTTGCAGCGGCTGGGACGCGGCCTGTGATATCGTCGAATTTTTTGACGGCAAGTGGGAGCCCATGGTGTTGAGATTGATGTAAGAGGTTCAGTCAATTCTCTGCCGACCCAGAAGAGGGGAGGTGCGGCTTCTAATGTTGTGTGTGTGTTGTTTGCGGTTGTCCCGTCGTGTTGCTTGCGTGCAGTTGTTTTTGTCGTTGTTGTTTTTGAACTCTCACTACTGAAGAATAATATCGTTGATCCCCCTCAAGTGACCACTGTATGTTTGTCAATTGAAGTGTTCCCCCCGGGCTCGCGCCCTTGCTTTTTGTTATCAGGGAAAAGTCACGGAGCTCACATTGTGTTGCTGGTCCCCAGCTTACTTCTTCACAATTTATTCCCGCATTCTACTTCCTCATCGTGTATCATCAAATCGCGCTCTCGCGCGGGACCTCCTCACAATTTGTATACGAATCGCGTTCTCACGTGGGATTTATTTGCAGTTATTCAGACGATGCGCCTTCAGCGCTCAGAAATCACACTCGCGCTCTGGTTTTTCTCCTGATTTATTTGGGAATCGCGCTATCGCTCGAGACTTCCTCGTGATTCATGCAGGACCCACGCTTCAGTAATCCGCCTGCTCGACCTGGTCGCCTGGGCCCGCCTTCCCGACCTGCCCGCTATGGGTCTGCCCACCTGATCTGCCCGTCGGGTTGTACCACTTATTTTCTGTTTCTTGCCCCCCTCCTGCTAATTTCTCTCGTGCTCCATTAGTTTCCCTGCCCCTTCCACCCGTCTTCTCTTGCTTTGTCTTAGGGGTTGCACTACATGCACGTTGCAGGTAAGTAAGGTATACCCCCAAGGGGTACGATCGAAGACGACGAGGGCGAGTGCCGAGGGCTGGGAATATACGTATTGATTGGCATGCGAGCGGGTAGGAGCGAACAGTCTTAAACTGATTGTTGCTGTTGCTGTTGTTGTGTTTGTTGTTGGTGTTGTTGTTGTGGTTGCGGTTGTTTTTTTTTTTTTTTATTGTTGCTGTTGAATGTTCATAACTAAGGAATACCTGGTATTGATCTCCGGAAACGGTTCCGCGCGTTCTCGCTTCGACGCCAGCTACATTTTCTGAGAAAACGAGGCTTTCGCTCGAGCGTTGGCTCGAGCGTACGGGCCCTTGGAGGCCCAGCTGCGACAACAACGGCTCCCACTCGATACGTCCTCACAATAGATCCTGAGATACCCTGGCCAGAGAGGCCACCGAACTCAGGAACGGCGCTCTCGCTCGAGGCTCGAGACTTCCTCGCAATTCAATCAAGTTGGCGGAGGCCCAGCCACGACGACAAGGGCTCCTGCTCGATAGTTCCTCACAGTTTACCTCGGCACACCCTGGCCGAGAAGGCCCCCGAACTCCTGAACGGCACTCTCGCTCGAGACTTCCTCGCAATTGAATCAAGTTGGCCGGGGCCAGCCACGACGACAAGGAATCCTGCGCGATACTTCCTCACGATTTACTTCGAGAGCCCCTGGCCAAGAAGGTCCCCGAACTCATGAACGGCACTCTCGCTCGAGTTTTTCTCGTAATTCAAGCAAGTTGGTGGAGGCCCGGACATAGCGACAAGGGGTCCCGTTCGATACTCTGAGAGCTTCTGGCCAGAGAGGCCCCCGAACTCAGGAACGGCGCTCTCGCTCGAGACTTCCTCGCACTTCAGTCAGTGACGGACAAGGAAGAGATTCCCCCCGAAAGTGGGCACAATCGAAAACGAAGTGGGCGGGTATCGAGGGTTGGGGTACACTGAATGCAAGACACGCTGCCAGTAAGAGCGAACAGTCTTAAATTGGTTGTTGTAGTTGTGTTTGTTGTTGTTGTGTTTGTTTTTGTTGGTTTTGTTGTTGTTGAATTTTCATTTCTGAAGAATGATTATTGTTGATCCCCCCACCAGTGCATGCTATGTCTTCTCAATCAAAGTGTGCCCCTCGACGCTCGCACCCTTTTTTATCAGAAAAAGTCCTGAGGTTCAAGCTGGGCCCCTTGCCCCCGGGTTACAAGAACAACGGTTCACGCTTGAGATTTTCCCACAATTTAGCCAGGACCCCCGCTCCCGCACGAGACCTCCGCGCATGTTATTCAGGAAGCCCGCTCTCGCTTGGGACTTCCTCACGATTTATTCAGGAATCCCTTTCCCGGCGCTGTGGAGTCGCGCTCTCGCTGGAGGCTTGCTTGCCAGTTAGTGAAGAATAGCGCCCTTTGCGTCGGAATTTTCTGCAATTTATTCAAGCGCCGCGCTCCCGACACCCAGGCACCCAGGAGTCGCGCTCACGCTTAGGACTCCCTCACAGATTACCTAGGAATCGGGATCTCACTGCCCTTCGTGGACCCGTTGCAGCCCTTCGTGGCCCCTCGATTTGTTTCGTGGCCCCGTTGCAGCCCTTCGTGGCCCCCTCGCTTTGTTTCGTGGCCCCGTTGCAGCCCCTCGTGGCCTCCTCGCTGCCCTTCGTGGCCCCGTTGCAGCTCTTCGTGGCCCTCTCGCTTTGTTTCGTGGCCCTGTTGCAGCCCTTCGTGGCCCCCTCGCTGCCACTGTCCTTCGTGGCCCCGTCGCAGCATCTCGTGGCCCCGTTGCAGCCCTTCGTGGCCCCCTCGCTGCCCTTCTCCCCGTCCTTGATTTCCGCGGTCCAGTATACGGATACCCTTCGTGGACCCCGCTCGTTCGCGCCCGTTGTGGCCCCATGTATATGCCCTTCGTGGCCCCGCTGTCGCCGTTTGTGGCCCCCTCACTGTCCTACGTGGCCCAGTTGCTATCCTCAGTGGCCCCATCGTTGCCTTCAGTGGCCCCGCATTATCTGCCCTTCGTGGTCCCCGCTCGTTCGCGCTCTTCGTGGCCCCATTCGCATTCCCTTCGTGTCCCCGCTGTCGCCCTTCGTGGCCTACTTCGTGTCCTTGTGGCCCTGCTGTCGTTCTCTGTCGCTCTCGCTTTCGCTCGTCGTCGCCGTCGTCGTGCACGTCGTCGTCGTCCTCGTCGTCGTCGTTGTGGTCGGTCCCCTGTCCGTCCCTGCTGGGGTCGGGTCGACGGTCCGCGGCCGCCCCGCCGATCAGCGCTGCCGCTGGCCAGGCCGACGGTCCGCGGCCGCCCCGCCGCTTGCCGGGGTCCAGCCTGCAGGGAAGAAAAGTATACCTCCCAAAAGGCTTTCGATCGAAAACGTAGAAGGCGAGTATCGAGGGCTTGGGAAATACGCGTTATTGAACACTCGAGCAGATAAGGGCGAACAGTCTTAAACTGATTGTTGTTGTTGTTGAACTCGCATGTCTGAAGAACAATGATTGTTGACCCCCTCACCGGTGCATATGGTTTTTCTCGATCAAAGTGTGCCCCTCGACGCTCGCACCATGTTTTTTGACAGGGAAGCTCTTGATGCTCAAACTGCGCCCCTGGCCCCCCAGATTGCAACAACAAGGGCTCCCGCTTGAGATTTCCTCCAAATGTACTCAGGGCCCCCGCACTTGAGACTTCCTCACAATTTACTCAGGATCGGTGCTCCCGCCTGTGACTTCCTCGCTATTTAGTCAGGACCCCCGCTCCCAGTTGAGTCTTCCTCACACTTTACTCAGGAACGGCGCTCCCGCCTGAGACTTCCTCGCAATTGAATCAAGACTTCTTCGCAATTCAATCAAGACCCCTGCTCCCGCCAGAGAACCCTTTACATTTGATTCAGGAATTGTGCTCTCGCCTGTGAATTCCATACAATGTATTGAGAAATCGCGCTTTCGACGCTCAGTAAACGCTGCGCCAAAGACGCCACTAGAATGTACTTAGTAACCGCGCTCTCGCCATACTCAGGCATCCCGCTTGAATGTCCCACCCGCCCGACCCGCCCGTCAGGGGATCGCCCGCCCGTCGTGGGCTCCCGCCCGAGACATCCTTCAGGAACGGCGCTTTCGCTTAGGACTTCCTCGAACGTTCACGCTCTGACCTTCCTGCTCCTCCTCCCTCTCCCTCCTCCCTCCTCCCCCCTCCCTCCTCCCTCCTCTCCTCCCTTCTCTCTCCCTCCTCTCTTCCCTCTTCCTTATGCCTCTCTGCCCTATCCCCTCTCCCTCCTCTCCCTCCTCCCTTCTCCCTCCCCTCTCCTGCCTCCTCCCTCCCTCTTTCTGTTTCTCTCTACCCTCTCTCTCTTTCTCTTTCTCTCTTACTCTACCTCTCTTATCTGTCTTTCTCTCTTTCTCTCTCTGTCTCTCCCTGCCTCTCTGCCTCGAATCAACCGCCCCCCTTTTCGCTCCTTTTCTCCTGGCGTTTTCCCTCTTCCTTCGTCCCTCCCCCTCCCTCCCGCTCTCCCTCGTTATCCCCCTCCTCCTTTTGCAGGGCCCACACCAATTCCAATGATGGGCAGATGAACGCCCACGAAGGATTGTCCGCCCGTTCAGGTTTGCCCGCCTGTCTAGCCCGCCGCCCCCCGCAAAGAGAAACAATCCCTTCCAAAGGGGGTCTGGTCAAAAACAAAAAGGGCGGGTATCGAGGGTGCGGGGGACTCGTTTTGAATGACACGCGGGCAAGTAAGAGCGAATAGTCTTAGAATGAGTGTTGTTGTTGCTGCTGCTGTTGCTGTTGCTGTTGCTGTTGTTGTTGTTGGTGGTGTTGTTGGTGTTGTTGGTGTTGTTGTTGTTGCTGCTGCTGCTGCTGCTGTTGTTGTTGTTGTTGGTGGTGTTGGTGTTGGGTGTTGGTGTTGTTGTTGTTGTTGTTGTTGTTGGTGGTGGTGGTGGTGGTGTTGTTGTGGTTGGTGTTGTTGTTGTTGGTGTTGTTGTTATTGGTGTTGGTGTTGGTGTTGGTGTTGTTGTTGTTGTTGTCGTTGTTGTTGCTGTTGCTGTTGCTGTTGCCGTTGTTGCTGCTGCTGCTGATGCTGTTGTTGTTGCTGATGCTGCTGCTGCTGTTGATGTTGTTGGTGTTGTTGTTGGTGTTGTGGATGTTGTTGTTGTTGTTGTTGTTGTCGTTGTCGTTGTCGTTGTTGTTGTTGTTGTTGAACATTATTAATTCTAAAGAATAATTATTGTTGGGCCCCCTGGTGCGCGCCCCCCCCGCCGCGCCTAGGCCGCAGCCACGTTTTCATCATTTTCGTGAGGAAGCCTCAGGTAATTCGAGTTGATCAAGATCCGGTTGTTTTGTTGTAATCCGCTTTCCCTTGCAAAAAACACTATAAAATGAAATTTCTTGTTCAAATATAATCAAATTTCAAGAATCCCTTGCAAAAAATAAGGTAAAGTGGACATTCGCGCGCGCAAGACGAAATCCTTCCAAAAGCTTAGTGTTCGGAGCGATTTTCAACATAAAAACATCAAAAAACCAATGGTTTTTCAACAAAAAAATGTCAAAATCTCATCCCGCGCGCTCTTGCGGATTCGTAGGAAACCCAACACTTTTTAAACATTTCTGTCAAACGGGCTTTTGCGAGCAACTTTTTCGAACTTCTGCGACAACGGTTGCGCACCTGCCAGGGCCATCATCCCTGTCAAATAATACCATGCGGGACACATTCGTTTTTTCTTCGCGCGCGCACGCCGAAATCTCCAAAAACCATTGGGTTCTGTGGGTGTGTACCCCACGCCAGTGTAGTAGCCACGGTCGTCCGCACGCCACGAAGTGAAGTGTCCCAACGTCATAGGGCGGGAAGCTGGGTTTGGGTGGTCGCGAAGAGTCGTTTGGATATTTGGTAGAGCTTGTAATGCCCCCCCACGAAGTGGGGGTATTGCCTGGTGTCGTATGAAAACCCTGGCACTGGGGAGAACACCACGCGTTCGGGTAAAATGATTGTTGTTGTTGTTGTTGTTGTTGTTATTGTTGTTATTGTTGTTGTTGTTGTTGTTGTTGTTGTTGTTGTTGTTGTTGTTGTTGATTCGTCCTCCTCTTCCTCTGCGTCTGTTGCGGGCGGCCTCTTTGGGACATCTTGGAGGCCTGTCGGCGCGAGGTTTTGGAGTCTTTGTAGAGAGCGGGCGTTTCTGAGGGCTTTTGGAGAGCCTCTTGGGCACGTTGGGAGAGCGGAGGCCAGGGGGAGGCGGAGGAGGAGGAGGAGGAGGAGGAGGAGGGGAGGATGAGGGAAGGAGGGATGAGTGATGGAGGAGGAGGAAGAGGAGGAGGAGGAGGAGGACGAGGAGGAGTTCAGGAATGGAGATGGAGGGAGGAGGAGGAAGAGGAGGAAGGACAGGATGCACCTCCTGACCCGGACCCCCGACCAGATTTGCTCGTAACGTGGATCCCCAAAGGTCCGGACCCCTTCCCTGGGATCGATTATCATCACGTGTCGTGCTTTGAAGGTCCCGAGGCCTGGTAACGGCCCCCCGCAGGCGGCAAGAATTCAAAATGTTAGTCAGCGTGGGCCCCAAAGAGTAAGTTGCGGCACCGCGGTTGTGTGAGCTATCTGGTGCAAATTTTGTGGTTTAAGCTATGTGGTGCAGTATTCGTGGTGAACACTAGAGGCAGCAACGAAGGACGCCGGCAAGAGCCTCTAAGTGCAAGCGCTGTTTGCGGATTTTTTCGTCGTTTGGATGTGGTTCTGGACGTAGAGGAGGACGAGATGGTATTGGAGCGGCCCCAGACAGCTGCCACCCCCCCGAACTCCTTTCCCTCAGACATCCGACGACATTTTTCTTCTTGCCCAATGCGCTGTTTAGGTCGGGCATGTCCCCCTACAGGCGGAATTTGGACGAAAAGATAAAGACAGTCAAACATATTCCCAAAACATTTCAACATACTTAAAAATCGTCCCCGACTTTTGTTTTACTACTTTTGAACATTTTATTGTAGAGGGACAGGCCCGACTTAATGCGCGGCTTTAGAGGTCCCGATCCTTCCCTGCAGGTAGTCGTTCGTCCCGCATCCATGTCTG